TCGCTCTTAGGTTGGAGGCCATCGCTCTTAGGTTGGAGGCCATCGCTATTAGGTTGGAGGCCATCGCTTCTAGATAGGTGTGCATCTTTTCTTTTGACATTTCTTGACAGGCCTCGATCCACCAAACGCAGCTGAGTGACCCAGAGGAAAGGATTGGGATGGCTGGCTTCTGTGCGTTTAGAGTCGCACCATAAGGAAAAAACAAATTCCAGACCGCCGTCGTCCTGGCCGCACTCAAGGACACTGACTCAGCCGGATACTCTTTCACTTGCGTGATGACTTTTAATGGAGCGGCAAATCACTGTACTTTGGGTATGACAAAAGACTTGCTGACACCAGAATGAACAGCCATCTCTGTATATACCCTCCTTCGCGACAGTGACAGTCTCAGCATCTTCCTGCGCAGCGAACTGTTGAACTATACTGGATCAAGCTGGGTCTTCTGGCATCGCACCTGATCCTGATGGTTCAACCGGAACATACACGAACATACACGTAGGGGACCTTGAGGACAATGTTGCCAGCTGGGGGGAAGAGTAAACATCCCACGTCCAGCGTGCCACAATAATACCAACTCATGGCACCCAGGTATCAATGCCAACTCCCCTCGGACGACAATTGTTCTTAGCCAGGCAGAAGTAAGCAAACAGGAGGCAGGAGGCCTAGCAAACATCCTCTCGCCACCAAAACAACGACAATACCAATTATGTTACCCTCCCTGAAACAATCATGGAAGTGGAATACAGCCTGTTCATAGAGGAATTTAGTCTTCCAAGGGGCCATGCTCCACTTCCATGTTTGTTGGATGGAGGGTACAAAATATGTTATACCGTTATACCTTATATCAGGCGTTGCTCTCTATCTCTGTTGTCACATTCCGTAAAGGTTCTGAACTATGTTGTCCTTGATGTTGTGGAACATGGATTTGGATATTTCTGTTGTCCTTGATGTTGTGGAAAGTGGTTTTGGAAATGTCTATGTTGTAACCAATGTTGTGGAAAATGGAGGAGTCCAGGAGTTCACATTCAAGGACTCTTTTGGTTTTCAGATATCGCTTCAGTTGATTAGGAACGGGTACATGTTCTCTCTCTTCAAAGGGCACATCAGGATGTGACTTTCGTACAGTAAACTTTGCCAAATACATGTGCTTTTCGGGCACCGGGAGCCCGGATATGAAGAAACGAAGCAAAGGAACAGACCAATAATCTAGAGTAATATTAGTGTAGAGACCGACGCAAGTCCGAGTCATGATCAGTTGCATCTTCATCAACCCACCAGCCGTCCTTGGTGATGTTCAAGGCTAGCTTGTCATTGTTTTCCTCAAATCGCAGGGATTGGTTCCACGTTCAGGACGGTTGCACAGTCTGACACATCTGGGTCCGCTTGGGGCCCTTTCAATTGATGCTTTGATCCAAGCATCAGCAAAAAATCATTGGGCTACTCTCATACAATTAAAGTCAGCCCAGGAACGAAAAAAACGCGCTCCAACCATCAGCACCAATCATCATGTTCCCCCATGTTCCCCGAGGTCGTCAACATAACATGATTTCCTCAAATACTACAGTAAGCATGCACTACACATGCGATCGTAATATTCATGCTGCTGTCTGCACAGCCCCAAATCACGATAATTAGCTATAGGCGTCCTTCTCTTGCTTTTTCCTCTCACCGTTGGCCGCGCGAACCTCATTTCGAGCTTGGCGGTGGCTTTGACTGCCTTCTCATGCTTATTCCCCGTAAGGCACCACCAATCAACCTTCTGCAACTCTGAACTTGGAAGCCTGGAATGATCTGAGAATTAAGTCACTGGGAGACTGTGACGGAGAAAGGCTCCGGCAAAGTCGCGACAAAGTGTGCCATGAGTGATGAGGCACTCCTGCATCATGGGAAGTGCTCTTGGACATCAAAGCTCCCAAGTCCTTCACCTTGCCTTTTGAATTCCTAGAATTCTAATGAATTCAAAAATGGCGATAGATTCCATATTAGTCCTCCTGGCTGGTGTCAACACGTATGCTTGTCCAGCTTAACCCTGATGACCAAAAGCGAGCGCACGGTTGGACTGTTGTGCCTTGGGATGATGGTACTTGTGGTAGACAGTGCGAACCTCGGAGCAGAGTTCCTAATAGCTTATTGTTACTACTAGTATGGCACTTTTTACTAGAAGCGATGCACTTGTTTCTAGTAGCTTCTTGTTACTAGTAGCGATGCACTAGTAGCTTCTTGTTACTAGTAGCGATGCACTTGTTTCTAGTAGCTTCTTGTTACTAGTAGCGATGCACTTGTTTCTAGTAGCTTCTTGTTACTAGTAGCGATGCACTTGTGGGAGACAGTGCGAACCTCGGAGCAGAATTCAAAAACAGCTGCGACAAGGGTTGCAAACTCGCTTGCACAAGCTTCTGAGCAAGCCGGCTGCCGCACCGCACTTTCTTCGTTTTCCATGCTTCACCACCATGCAGAATCATGCAACATCAGATCGTGCACACTTCACACAGCACACCGCCTGGGGTGCATCTTCGCAATTTGTGTGGACCTCAACTCTCCTCAGCCTTTACTGGGAAAAGGGTGTCCAAGTCTGGCGTGCCAGCGGCCGGGGTTGACTCGATGCCACACTCGTTCTGCCCACGACGCATCTTGAAGAGCCCGTGCATCCCCCACAGGGGTGAGTAAGAGTTGGCCAGGAGCCAGTAGTCCACGGGTTCCTTCTTCAACTCCTGGTCAAGCCACTGACGGAGACGAAGACCACACAAGCAAAACAAAGCTGTCATCCCCATGTGTTTTTCAATAGCTTGATTGTTGAACATGTGCATGAGACAAAGCAACATCGGCCCAACCGCTGTGTCATCGCATTCGGCCTCCTGCGTTCCCCAACCAAGTAGGCGGACTGCATGTCCTGAGCCAAAAAGGGGAGCCTTTTAGATGCTCAAAAGGTACAAAAGCATATAGGATTCGGAGAACAGACTCCTCCAAACACTTTCATTCCTCCACAGGGTTCCACAATTGGGACAAAGTTTGGGACATCAGTCACAAGCCAAATGGTCTAGAGTCTACAAATACCTTTGACCTTCCCAGGAGCTTTGCGAGCATGTTTTACGAAGGAGGCAATTGCTAGAAATGTCAGAACCATTGGTTGGAAAAGCGACTTGTCGCTCCCAATCACAATAGCAAAAGAGCATCAGCATGCAAGCAGCGAGGCTCTGGACTTCATGACAAATGTCTACACACACACACACCCTCAACAAAACAAATCAGAAGCGAGTGCGTGTAACACGTATCTTCAAAAGAGCGGGTGTCACCGGTGGTTTTGTTATAACGTCAGCTTGTCCCCTCCTGGCCGGACCGGCCCCAAATCCGATGCGCCTCCCAAAGGTCCATAAGCACCCGGGGTTCGGAAGTAGACACCACTCCTGGTGGGAACTCTGGTTAAACATGTTTACACGTCAACATGCTAATGTGTGAATAGGTTCACCTCTGTAACACAGGTTCTTTCTGATGCATGTTCCCTGCAAGTCTCCAGAACTACAGTAGTGTTTGCATTTGGCTGAATACATCTGAATACAATACTTGGTGATTCATGTTCCAGTTCACCTTGGAAAAGAAAAAAGACATGGGCCTGGATGAAAATCCAAAACTGTTGTCAAAAGGAAATTGGTCCGGTTGCTTGAGAGCATCTGCTCAGCTGCCATCTTTTGCACTTCCTGCTGACTATTTTGCTAGACTTGCATGTAATATAGGGCTCCTACGAATAAATACCAAACAAATACTGTGCAAATCTTGCTAGAACTCTGCCGTGATCCAGTTCCGCCGCCACAAAAGCTCAGTACCGCGTAGTTCTCCTGTAGCTCATGAAGTCTGAGAATACCTTAGGCAGCAACCATATGAGAGACTGCTAAAACATGGGCTGGCGTGGATGCCAAAAGATCTAGTCGAGCATTGTTGAAATTTGTCATAATGATAGTGTTCAAAGCATTTTCCTGCAATGATGCCCCAACTTGGACCACTTTCTTGTGAGATCGGCATGGGCGACGATCCTGAAAATAAATATGGACATACATCAAATTCATCTTTGTTGCTCATTGTGCAATCTAGAGAGAGTGTTTGGAATCTGAGATGGCCAGAAAGCCACATGGCCAGGAGATGGTGGTCGTCCAAAGGAAAATTTGGAAAGGCTGTCTAACACCTCAGAACAGTTCCAATGGTTGATTTGTTGTTATGCTCTTCTTCTGATGTTCTTATGTTCTCCATGTTTGAATCTCCTATTGTTCTTGGCCACACTCATCTGCCATCTGCTCCATTGCCAGGCCACGAAGAAGGCCACCTCCACTGGCCCGCCCTGCATGACTTCCCGCTGGAGGGCTTGCACATCACGTGGCCGGGCTGCGGCGTAGGCCTCCAAACGAATTGGCCGCAACTCGGCAACTCTCTTATTTGAGAAATGTTCTCTGTGTTTCTCGGGGACTATAGCATAGAAAAACACACAGTCCTTTCGGACAACATAACATAGATTCTTAAACCCAGCCTCACCAACTTTAAAGAAACTCATGGAGGAGCCATCAGCGCAGCGGCCAAAGCCTTGGGGTGAGAGGATGAGGCTTCTTTGCTCCACTACGCGACGCCTCTCAATGATGGGAGGCACCCACAACCATCGCACTCAGTCGCTTCATGCGACTCCATGTCACTGCTGGATCACAGTTACTCTATTGATTGAACACTGAATTATATAAAGTCTACATACAGCATTACAATCTCATTCACGTTTAACTAAACCGGAATTTGCTCACTTAGGACCTGGCAAATCTTCTTCTCCTTCTTCTGTTCAGCTGTCGCAGTCAAAGGGATGAAAGGCCTGACGAACACACAAAAACAAAAACATTGCTCAAGTAATTTTTATATTCATTGGAATGCCGTTGGCCAATTTCTTATTGAAAGGTTGTGACTGTTTCGAGAGTTTCCTGCAGCTTTATCCACCCCAATACTTTGCAACAGTCTCAAGAATCTGCCAAGACATGTCACCGCCGAATGCTAAATCTCTTCACCATATTTGAGCTCGTCCAACTTGGCCTCTTCTCCCAGCCGTACTCGCAGGATCGTTGGATGGGCACAGGGCAATGCATGTAGGGAGCACAAGTCTCCTGCAGCGAACCCAGCATCTCTGAGTGAGTCTGAAACGCAGGACAAAGCTTTCTTACTTCTGGCCACCATGGAGCTGAGGCCCCAACTACAAAGCATCGCTACTAGTAACAAAGAAAGAAGGAAGAAAAATTGATTATATACTGTTGTTTTTGTTTCTGTTGTGAGCATTGCACTTGACACCTTGACATGGTGAACCGATCGAAGCTGCTTTAACTTAAGCGCCCAAAGAAAAAGGGGCGATCCCGTGCGCCGCCATTTCGTTTGGAGCCGACCTTTCGTTGTGGTTTCGCTTTCAAGAGAAGAGTTTTTTTTGCAGAGCGGTTGGTTGCAAGCCTGGTGACTCACACCAGGTTATGAGCCCAAAGGTTCATGCTGGAGCATAGGCGACGACAAGCCAGCCGGCAAGAACTTGAACAGGGCCAAAAGGAGATCCAGGCAGCAGATGCCAGGATGAAGCGGGAAGCCAAAAAGAGAGGCGAACTTCCGATCGAAGATGCTAGGGTTGGAAGGGGGGGAAAAGGAAGCTCAGCGCCTGAAGACAAGGGGCATGATGTTGGCTCCACCCGATCGCCTACGGTCACCCTGCCATCCACCGAGGAAAGCGCCTCGGCTTCTAAGGCACCAGCAGTCTCAACTCCGAAGCCCATTGAGGATGAATCAGGTTTGCCAAAGCCGCCTGAAGAAGCACATGCCAGGACACCACAGGTTCTGGGACCGAAGGGTCATGAGAAAAGGGAGTCGCATGGTGTTGAAGTGATAGAAGAGAACCAAGGTCATGAGATGATTGAAGCAGGTCCCCATGGTAGGACACCGGAATCACATGCTGTGACCATGGCTCCACTCTTCACGCCTGAACAGTTGGACTCGTTGCACCAAGTACAAGCCCAAGCTCCATGGCTTTATGCTAGGTTGGAAACGCCACAAGCACCAGCATTGCAGCGGCCTTCGTTTCTTCCCTCCACTGACCGTGACTGGAGGGTGAGAAAGGAAGAAATGGACAGTAGAAGTTCTCAAGAGTTGATAGCCCATGTCCAAACTGCTGAAGCTGCAGAGAAAGAAGATCTTCTTCGCCACCTTCGACAGCTCACCTATGAGAATGGTTTGCTGAGGGATGAAGCTCAAAGAAGGATTCGAGAAGAAGTTGTGAAGCCACCAGCAGGTCTCCATGAACGACATGTTCAAACCCTGTTGGAAGAAAACCTTCGATTGCAGCAGGAGCTTCGTCGAATGTCCTCGATCCTGCCAACAGCCAAGGAAGACGACCCGATCTTTGCCACTCCGAATGGAAGCTCTGGTCGTGAAGAAGGAACTGGAGGACGGGGGAGAAAGACTCAACAAAGGGTTGAAGAAAATGATGGACGAAGGTCCAGTGAGGTTGATGATTCAAAAGGTCAAGAAAGCACCGCGCGCAAAGAGACAGAAGAAGAGCCAGTAAAGAACAGTGGCACTGGGAAGGGCAGAGGATCAAAGAAGAAAGAAGTGGGAAGTGAAGAAGACAGTGTGCATCACCAGACCTTGCAGGTGATCTTGAAGGTTGTAGAAGGTATGCAGAAAATGCAGGATCGAATGTCAAAAGGATCCTCGACGGACTTGGAGAACGAGCCCGAGATGGTGAAGCACAATGTCGAGCTCCCCAAACTACCGGAATGGAATTGTGAGTCGGCGCCAATTGATTTCGCTGACTGGCTTCTGCTCCTGGCACCACTGATGGCTGACCTGACCTCAACGTCAGAAGAGTGGTGGAATTTGACCTTGGAGGAATCTCGCCAGTGGTATCAGCGCCACCTCACCAAGTCGCCCTTGGACCGGTTGACCCACCAGATATCGCCAAGTGCCAAGTTGACAACTCGCAAGTGGGCACGATTGGAGAAGCGAACTACAGCCCGACTCCTGTCTGCCATTCCAGAATCCCTTCGTGAAGAAGTTGTGTCGAGCAAAAGTTTGTCAACTTTTGGAATCCTGGTCAAAGGCATGATTGCCTACCAGCCTGGAGGCCTTTCTGAACGTCAAGCTATTTTAGCCGCCCTGGAGAATCCAGTGGAGGCCACGTCAATTGGCCAAGCAGTCATGACACTTCGGAAGTGGCTGCGATGGCGGAGGCGGGCGGAGGAAGTGGGAGTTTCGACTCCCGACCCCACGATTTTGGCTCGTGGACTCAGCAAGCTGACAAAGAAGTTGGTGGTTGTTCACCCTGAGCTCAACTTCAGGCTGCAGCTTGTCCGCAGTTCGTTGATGGTTGATGCTGTCCCAAGCCATGATGCCATTTCGAAGTACAGTGAGCATCTTCTTGCTGAGCTAGAACAAATGGGGCAGCAATCCCGAAAGAAGGAGAACACCGTCGACTTGCCGAAGGTCAAGAAGTTTGAAGAACAAGGAAAAGAAACAAAAGAAAAGAAGGAGGCCAGGGACGGTGATGACAAAGAGAAAGGGAAGTGTCGTTTCTTTTTGACGGACCAAGGATGTCGCAGGGGGAAACACTGTGGGTTCTCTCACGACCAAAAAGACGACAAGAGACGCTGCTGGGTGTGTGGTTCACCAGATCACTTTGCACCAGCCTGTACAAGACCAAAAGATTCCAAAGAAAGCCCACCGAAGCCAAAGATTGCCAAGGCAGAAAAAGAAAAAGGTGGGAAGCAGAAAGGGGAAGAAGAAGGAAGTGATGATGTTCAACCGGCCATCAAAGAGCTTCTCAAGGAAGCCAATGACATGTTGCGAGGGATGAACACCACTCCATCCCCATCCTCTGCAAGCACCTCACCATCCGCAAAAGGTGGTGACTCTCCTGAAAGAAATGAAGTGGTGGAGAAGCTCCAACAGCAGCTCAATGCCCTCCGACAGAAGGCATTCCAGTTATGCCGGCTCAAGAAGGGGGAAAGACAGGGCTTGCTGGACTCAGGGGCGACGCACCCTCTCCGCCCAAGCAAGAAAGGTGAAGACAAGTCCACCTACCGTGTGGTTCAGGTCTCGCTTGCCGATGGACAAGTTGTTGAAATGCCAATCTCCCCAGGAGGTTCCATGGTGTCAGATGATGATGACATTGAGCCAATAGTTCCGATGGGATTGCTCACTGAGGCCCTTGGATGCACGGTCTCCTGGTCAAAAGATCAGCTTCAGGTCCACCACCCTCGACGGGGAAGGCTTCCAGTTGACCAGAAGGATGGATGTCCTCAGCTGCCTCGTGGTGTGGCCCTTGGGTTGATTGAGGAGATTGAGCAAGTGAAGAAAGGAATCAAGTTCATGGAAGATGACAGTTTCCACGATGAAGTACAATGGATGAAGCACTTTGTGGAAGCCCATCCGGTGTTTCGCCGGCTTCCTGAAGAAATCAAGAATTCGCTGGTCGTGAAACCAGGTGAATGGTCCTCCCTGCCGGCCAATCGTCGGAGGAGGAAAGCGATGAAGAGAGATGGATTTATCTGCCACTTGTACGCCGGGGAGGAGGAAGGCTTCACTCTCCAAAGGGCATGGAAGCAAGTTGGTGGAGATGAAAAGGAGTTGCTCGAAGTTGACAAGAAAAGGGGTTCCGGTCATGACATGATCCTGAACACTGGTCCCTATGCAGGTCTACTTCGAGCTGTGTGGGAAGGAAAGCTGCTCGGCCTAGTTGGAGGCCCAAACTGCAGGACAAGAAGCGTCCTTCGACATCGTCAAGTTGAATGGACGGACGCAAGACCTCTTCGAAGATGGGGGGGGTGAAGAGTTTGGCATTGTGGACGCAAGTCCAGAAGAAAAGGAAAAGTTGAAAGAAGATGACCAGTTGCTGTGGAGGATGATTTTCTTAGCTGCCTTGGACACGTATTTGAGACGTGCCAGAGGACTTGATGGACAGCTTGGGTTCGCCCTAGAACAGCCAGCGTCACCGAAAGACTATGAGGCAGCAGTGGTCTCATTTTGGGACACCCTTGAGTGGCATGATCTTCGAAAGGAGTTCGGCTGGATGGAGACGACCTTCAGTCAAAAGCCGCTTGGAGGGGCTGCAGTGAAGCCCACTACGGTTGGTGGGAACCTTGAGCTAGCTCCTGAGGAATTTTCCATCAATGGCCAGATCCATCACCACGTCCGTGGGTTATGGGACCTAGCCAGATGGCCTCCGGGGATGATGTCGATGATTGCTGAGGCTTTGATGACTCAGGTTTTGCGAAGGCCAGTCAAGCTCCGTGCACTCTCCTGGGAAGAGCACCTGCTGCTGGGCCACACACCAAGTAGAAGAGATTGCCGTGTATGCCAAGAAACACGACAGCAATGCTCTCCACACAGAAAGGTGGAACACAAGTTGGCAGGGGTCCTGTCATTGGACACGGCCGGACCACTGAAGACAGCGTATGACCTAGGAGGTCTTCAGTCCCGCTACTTCTTGGTTGGGACGCTCACATGGGCACTTCCACTGGGCTTTGATGCTGACGTCCAGGGGAGGAAGTTCAGGAAGGTGAAGATGAAGAGTTGTGGCCCTTGATTGAGGCCAATGAAGAAGAAGAAGCTGATCAAAAGGATGATCAAGCACCAAAGGATGACCAGGTGCCGCCAAAGGACGATAAGGTGCCACTTGGTGAACGTCGAGGAGGATTGTCGGACGCTGAAGAAGAAGCGGGCCGAGGAGTCTTCGATGACGATGAAAGTGAAGAAGATGAAAGGGCCATTGAGGCCGAAGGAGAAGAAGATGAAGGGGCCATTGAGGCTGAAGGAAGAGAAGTTGATGCTGGGCCGCCAAAAGACTTCAAGATCGAGATCTTCAGGTTGGCATTGCCTATGCACTCAAAGAAGTCCAAGGAAGTCACAAGGACGACAATGGACATGCTGTTGAGGTTGAGGATGGACGGATACTCCGTCGCTCAGATACACTCTGATCAAGGCCATGAATATGCAGGCCATTTTCAGGACTGGACAAGGCGGCGGGGAATCATCCTCACCAAAACCGCCGGGGACGAACCCCAGTCCAACGGACGTGCAGAGGCCGCAGTGAAAGCACTGAAAACGATGGTTCGAAAGGCTTTACATCAGGCCAAAGAAACTTCGAAGTGGTGGCCATGGGCCCTAAGACACTGCAACGAGGTTCTCAGAGCAAAAAGGCTCCACCAGTCTCCTGACTTCCCGCCCTTTTTGACGGAGGTCATGGTCCGGAGGAGAAGATGGAAGCGGGATGACCTGGCCCCAACAAGTGAACGGGTGAGGTATCTCTGTCCGTCCCCTGAGAACCACGGACACTGGATCGTGAGGGACGATGAAAGGCCCAGGCTCACGAGATGCTATATGAGGAGGTTGGAAGACCCACCGACAGAGAGGCATTGGATCGCCCTGGAGAAGGAAATTTTGGACGGTCTGAGGCTTCGAAGGAGGATTCGAGGCAAAACTGCCGTCAAAAGACTTCAAAAGGAAGTTGAGGATGAAGAGACAAAAGAAGAAAAGTTCAGGACCCGTGCAAAAAGGGTACTGGAAGAAGAAGCGCTGATGGCACTTGAAGATCCGCCGGACTTGGCCATTCTGACGTCCCAAGTCGTTGCTCAGATCAAGCGGTCTGTGGCGGTGGAAAGTCCAGAAGAAGAAGAAGTTCTCCAAACCCGAATCGTGTCCCCGAAAGAAGTGGCAGCAGGTTGGGTGATGTGGGAGGCTCCATCACAAGATGAGATTACGTCTCTCCTCACCGACAAGCTAGCCTTGAAGCCGGTCACCAAGGGGGAGGTCAAAAGAATGGTGGAAGATGCCGAGTCAAAAGGGGTGAAAGTTGAGTTTATCCCGTCCAAGCTTGTGTTCACCCGCAAGCCTGGAAAGAAGGGAGGAAAGAAGAAAGTCCGCTGGGTCGTTTGCGGAAACTTCGAAAGCAGAGATCCGAATGAAGAGAACTTCTCTGCTGGAGCCGACTCAGCTGCCCTTCGAATTATGGTCTGGGTTGCAGTGGTCTACCAGTGGGAGGGCTGTGTGGTGGGCGTCAAAACAGCTTTTTTGAGTGCCAAAATGTCCCAAAGAGAAGATCAACAGCTGCTTTTGGTATGCCCACCTGCTTTTTTCGTGGAGCGTGGATCGCTGGCCAAGGACACATACTATGTCCCACTCAAGGCGGTCTATGGGTTCCGCCGCTCGCCACGCCTGTGGGGTGAGCACCGCGATGAAGTACTCCAAAAGATGGAGATCGAAGTTGAAGGAGAAGAAAGGCCCTTGTGCCTAGAGGCCTTGGATTCGGAGCCAAACTTGTGGAGGATTGTCGAACTCCATCATGACGAAGATGCACCAAAGCTCCGAGGGCTTTTGATGACTTATGTCGATGACATCATGATCACTGCCGAACGAAAAGTGATGTTGGCAGTCAAGGATCAGTTGCAAGCTCAGTGGACGACATCAAGTCCTGAGTACATAGCCGAAAAGCCAGTGAAGTTTTTGGGCATGGAGATCATCAAGCAGGTGAACCCGGAGACTGGCAGAGATCGATGGCTCATTTCTCAACAGTCTTACACGACAGACCTCCTTGAGCCAGAAGTGCACCAGCTCCGAGAGAAGAAGATCCCGATCTCAAAAGATCAATCGGCCATGGTGGATGATCCAAGCCCACCAACAGCGGCAGACGTTAAAGCTGCCCAAAAGACTGTAGGAGAACTCCTATGGATGGTGACGAGAACGCGCCCTGACATCATGTACGGCGTCTCAAGGATGGGTTCAGCCGTCCTCAAAGGACCACAAGCAGTTCTCGAAGCCTCCAAACAGATGAAAGGCTACCTTTGGAAGACGAAAGAAGAAGGCTTGATTTTTGAAGAGGAGGCCAACACTGAGCCAGTGATTCGTGTGTACACTGATGCCTCCTACTCTCCAACCTCAGAGGAGAGCCATGGATGCCTGGTGGTCCTCCTGGGAAACAGCCCAATCCTGTGGCGATCTGGAAGGCAGTCGACGATTACTTTGTCAACTGCTGAAGCCGAGTTGAACGAAGTGATTGAAGGTATGGTTGCAGGAGAGTCCATAGGGGTGATTCTGGATGAGCTGTTCAAGCCCGTCGTTCGCATGGCTTGGACAGATAGCCAATCAGGAATGACGATCCTGACAGCCGAGGGCGGCAGCTGGCGGACGAGACACCTCCGCATGCGGTCTTCCTATGCGAGGCAAGTCATCCTCGACGGACTGTGGACCTTGCACCACGTGCCAGGTGAAAAGATGATTGCAGACTTGGGGACGAAGGCACTTGCAGCTCCTCGAGTCGAAACCCTCAAGAAGCAGCTCAACATGGGGCTACCTCTCGGAAACACCGAGATGAAGAATGAAGAAAGAAAAGGTGAAAGTGAAAGGAATGAAGAAGAAAAAGTGAAGAAGGAAGAAAAGGAAGTGAAGGGCCAAAATGAAGAAAAGGCCAATGTGATCATTAAGTTGATCACGATCGCCGCCACACTGGCAAGCGCAAAGGCGCAGGGGGGAGCATGAAGATGATGAAGAAGAGATCCTGGGATGGGAAGTTATGATGATCCTCATTCCTCTGGCTCTGATGGTGCTTCTCTTAGTTTGGTGCCTGAAGGAGGGAGTAGCACGCAGCCGAGACCAATCACCAAGTGACCAAGAGTCGGCAGTGCGAAGTCCTCCCAGGACACCACCTCGACGAGAAGCCAGACTGCGAGCCATAAGAAAGAAAGAAAGAAAGAAAGAAAGTGAAGATGATGAAGAAGAAGTGTCTCGGCCATCTCATTTGCCGAGCCCAATGAGATCACCAGGATCTGCACCACCTCACACTCCAACCCAGCTTCCAGTGACCCAAGTCACAATGTGGGGGTTTCCTTCTCCCAATGGTCGATGGCTCCAACCAGAAAGGTCACCGTCATCTCCGACGGGATGCCGTTTGGACAGCCTTAGCGAGATCAGAAGGAAGAAGAAGAAAGAGGAAGCAGAAAAGAACCGAAGAGAGGAAGAAGAAGAGGAGCGAAAGAATGAAGAAGAGGAATCAGCTGGGGCTGCATCATCTGCTGCGATGGCATCAGCAGACGCCCAGTCACGATTCCAACAGAAAGGAGAAAGCAGCGCACACGCAAAAGCACAAGTGAGGCCTCCGCCAATGCAGCAAGGTGAAGGCCAGGATCCAAAGATCTTGACGACCAAGTTCGGAAGAGTACATCACCGAACTATGATGTGCCCTTACTTGACCAATCCTCGGACGGGGACGGTCAAGGAAAGTCGATGGTGCGAAGAGTGCACCAGCATGATGGGAATGATGACATCTGTCACCCTGTGGACAACCAGTTGGGGTGGCATTGCACACTCGAACAGGGTGTGTCGGTTGCTTCGGGGTGAGGTTCTCCGATACACGCCCTGCTCGGCCTGTTCTGGCCAATGAAGACGAAGCAGCTTGAGCTGGAAGACCAAAAGCGGTCGAATTTTGATGAAAATGAAGAGGTTGATGACCATGGCAGCCTAGCGTCACCATGGAGGGGGAGTGTTGTGAGCATTGCACTTGACACCTTGACATGGTGAACCGATCGAAGCTGCTTTAACTTAAGCGCCCAAAGAAAAAAGGGGCGATCCCGTGCGCCGCCATTTCGTTTGGAGCCGACCTTTCGTTGTGGTTTCGCTTTCAAGAGAAGAGTTTTTTTTTGCAGAGCGGTTGGTTGCAAGCCTGGTGACTCACACCAGTTTCATTCTTTCTTTTCTTGTTGAGCTTTCTCACCTCTACCCACCATGGAGCTGAGGCCCAACAATGCTTTGAGAAGGGTGTTGGCACACATGTTTCTGGTCAATACGCGCGAAGCTCAGCGAAAAGTGGCCACTATCGAAGAAGCAAACTCGGAAGGCGTCAATCCCCCATCCAAATCATGAAAATTGCAAGATTCCAAAGAAAACACCACTTCTACAGGTTCTTCCACACGTTTCTCGACTGAGGCGTGGGAAATGGCTAAGAAGGGTTCAGTTTGGAGATAGAACCTTTAAGCTCATCTTCCAGTCTCGAAACTTCCAGGTGTCCATCACTCGTACTGCCTTGGAATTGTTGCCGTCATGTTCCAAGCTTGTTCTGCCATGGCATCCCTGTCCTTGGGAATCCCGTGGTTCTTCAGGAAGATCCAGGCATCGTCCAAACGGCCGCCACCACATCCATTGTTGGTATCATCACACTGCACCATCAGTTCCGGAGACAGGCAAAGAGCTTCCAAATCCTGAAACAGTTTGGGGAGAGCGACTCTGCTTTGGCGTTGGACACCCAAGGCACCTAGGTTGATGGTTGAAACTTAGAGCAGGTATGGCCACTGATCCTTTACAGTTGGGTGGCTCTCAAATTCCGATTGTGCAAGCCGGAGGGTCGGGAGGTCATGAAGACTTGAGGATCCAAACCACAGAGTGGCGAACCATTTTATGGTTTTCACATGTTTTCAAGTGTTCATACAAGGGGGGCCTCCACCTAATCCTGGACTCCGAACCACTCACCAAGCTGCCTCGAGCTGATCATCAGAAGCCGCGATCTGCATCCAGCTCTGGTGCTGCATGGCTGCAACACAAAAGCGATCAGTCATCACCTCTGAGCACACAACCACAGGTTGCATAAGGTTTTTTGCTCTGAATTGTTGCAGCTATAGGCTGTAAGGCATTTAAAAGATCAGGGGGTTCATTCTACCATGAACGTCTCCCAATACCGGCGCCGTCGGCAAAGCCCGGCTGGCCCACGAGGAGGGTGAAGTTCTCGTCCAGCCACGAGCCAAACTGGTTAATTTGACTGTGCAAAGAGTTCATCAGTGAAATCCATTTTACTTAAAACTAATTTTATTTACTGTAACCCTTAAACTAAATAAGCAAAACAAAATGGTTTTACCGTGGTCGACCACGTCATTTTAGATTTGTCGGTAGCAACAGGGATCTAGAAATTATAACTCATTCCCGATGAGATCCTATGAGTCATATCCCGGTTTCGTGAAAGCCTCTCCTCATCTGTCCGTTCTCTCTCTCTCTCTCTCCCTCCCTCCCTCCCTTCCTCACTCCCAATCCCGCCGTTGCTGCAGCCACAGCCCAGCACGATCCGCAGGGCCCCTCGAGCAATGCAAGCTCGGTGTGTGTCCACAGCTTGGTTTTGTATCCATGGACTCCATGGACTCATGGACGTATTCTATGCTATTCATGTGCAAGCATCCTTGTCCCACTGTAAAATAATGTAAAATACTTTCAACAAATCAGCGCAGGTGCGAGACATTCATGTCCGAGACAGCAACGTCGCGCATGGCTGGGGTCTCCATGGGTCTCCTGATTTCGGATGAGGCCGATGGAGTTGCACTTCGGCCAGTGCGCTCGCGCATCGAAGGACTCGGGGGGGCGAGGAGCCGTTCCGCAGAAAGCTCGCTGGCCTTGGTGTGGGGGCGGGGCAGTTGCTTTAGCAATAGACACTCACAACAACAGCCTGGATATACTGCATACACACACACACCTTGTTCTTTGGGAGGATCAATTAATCTCCTGTGGCTGTCTGGGCAATTACAAGGTTTGTTGATTATGCTTCGTCCGGGCCCCAAAAACTTCAGTAATTGACTCACTCTTCTCCCCTAAAGCAAGTGCCGCTTTAGCTTTCGCAAGCAACTTAGCTTCATAATGACACAGGGGGGGAAAGCTGCCCAACAACATATTTGTGACATTGTTACCCATGTCCCTTGTCGCCGAGCTACAATGCAGCTTGGCGACGCGGGACAATGGATGACAGCATGATCAATCCAGCATGAGTTTCAATACAATTCAATTTACACTAATGCAATGCCTTTATGCAAACTAATACTATACAATGCATCCAGAGTCTTGTGAGACAAACGGAAAACGAGCGGCTCAGTACACTTCTCGATTTGTTCATGTCAATGTAGCTGAATGACCAATCTCCCTCAGACGTGCTTGAAGAGACCCGTAATTCTTACAAAATTCGACCAAATTCAATGAAATAAAGTTCCTGCCAAAGGACAGAGTCCTTCCATGTGACATTCTGTGCAGCAAACTGTGGAGCACGACGATGCTCTCTTCCACCGGACGCTACTAGGAGCAAAGGACATCGCTACTAGGAGCATCTCCTTGACGATGCTCTCTTCCACCGAGTCCCCCGACGCGCTCCGAAGCGGAAGCTTCAAGGGCCCCATCTCGGTGCCCAGCGACGGGAGCATCTCCTTGACCTCTCAAGTGGACGGAAGCGGGGCGCAGCGATGGGCAAAACAGTTGCAATCAATAGGTCAATAGAGAGAGTCTGTTTTGTAAAGGCCAGGGGAGTAGGCCGCTATAGGAAGAGGTAAGCTATAGCTAGCTTACTTTTATATAATGGTATTTTTTGTATTTTTTTTGCTGCTTTTGACTGTTTTCATGGGGAGTGAAAGAGCTGCAAAAACGAGAATAGAAAATAATTTTCAAACATTTTTGTGGTGACTGAACCGCAAAAACACTAAAAGGCAAAGATGCACGCCATCATTATGTTTCATCAGTTCCTCCTCCCAAATGGTTTGATTCCTGTGATCACATTTTCCCCTTCAGGTGTGTGTGCTATCTTGGTCTTGTTGAAAATCTTTCACTTACACATACATGGGGTGAAAATAAAATTCAATAGCTTCCACGAGAAAGCTCACATGAGAAAACGAGACTTGAAAATAGCGCAGGGCTAGTCATTTTGCACTTGCACTGCTCCCTCATTCACGCACGCACAGGCTGCCGCCAGTGGCCGGAGCAGCCACATGGCGACAGTCTGTGGGAAACCTAGTTTAATTAGCATTGCTTGCCACACTTTAATTTAAAGCGCCCAGTCTTCAGATTGCAAGTGATTGCGCACCCAGCTGCGACCTGCCTCTAAATAAGCTCCATGAGAATGTGTGTAGCAAGTCTGTGGGCCTGTGGCCATTGGCTTTTGCTCAAGCATTTGTATTTTTGCAAGAGCTTCCAAGGGTGATAAGACTTGAGCAGTTTCTGTTGACCAAATGAGCTGTTTCGCCACAACCCTTTCCATTATTGCAATCATCATGGAAAAACTGCGCGTTTTGACGTCGCAGCATTGCAATGTGAAGTTCAACTAAAATTCACGTTTTGAAGGACGCTTTCCCTTGGGCCAAACCATTCAATTATCCTTTACTTGCAACTTGCGAACTTAAGCACACATGACTGACCTCAATTATCAACCCAGACCCAGACACCTAATAATTTTTCCGCACCAGCAAGTTTCAAAAAACGCTGGCCGAAGCAGCCAGCAGACGGTGTTGGCCCTGGCCGAAGCAGCCAAAGGCCACTCACCCCTCGTCCAAAGGATCCCAAACATCCTCCTCGAATGCCTCTTCCTCCTCTTCATTGTCGTCGTCATCTGCCTGCTCTGCCTCGAGACGCGGCTTTTTCGACTTGGGCTCTGACTTTGCCTCCGCCTTTGGTTTTCCCTTAGGCTTGGGAGCTGGCTTTGGCTTGGGAGCCGACTTTACCTTTGGCTTGGGGCGTGGCTTGCGCTTCGGGATCGCTGGCTGCGATGAAGAAGTCGTTGACCCCACAGCTTGCGCATAGGCACTGTTGAACAATGGCGAGGCAGTCTCCTTCACGCTCACCTTCATTAGGTCCAGGAGCCGTTCTTCCATCAGCTTGACATGGGTGTCAATGTAGCAGATGCCCATGTACGCAGTCCTAGTCTTGACGCATGCCCACGCCAACTTTCCATCAGCTGGGCTCAAGTCCAGCACCAGCTTGGCATAGAAGGTGTGCAGGAGCTCCTCCATCAGCTCAAGCGGTGGCGAGAAGTAGCAAACAGGCTCGGGCAAATCTTTGGTTCGGTCGTTGATTTTTGGCTCATCCTCTCCACCTTCTGCGCGCCCGCCCACCGCGATCAAGTGGCGCTTGCCATACAGATCCTTTTTCTCCGACCACTTCATGCTCCATTCATCAGTGAGCTTAGGAAGGGCCACGCCCTGAATGAGGTCACCTGTTGAGCTGCCAACATAATGGAGTCTTGGCCGAAGCAGCTAAAGCTTTCAAACTTGCTTCACTTGAGTGAAAAACGGCTGCAAACGAGCAATTTGAAGTCTGAGAAGAGAGGGCAGTGAGGGGACAACTATGGGCAAAACTATATTATATAGTGGTATTTTTGTTTCGCCCTCTCAAAACCCTCTCCTTTCGAGGTTCAAGAACGTTCCCGAAGCTCGGGTGGAGAGGTCAAACCGCCCTCTCCTTTCAAGCACTGTCGTCGATTTTTTCACCTTCGAGCTGAGAAGTCAGCTCGCGCCTTGCCCGCTTCCAACTTTCTAAGGTTTTTTGATTAGCCAGTGACTTAACCTCAAGCCTACAACAAACCCTGCAACCTTGGCCGAAGCAGCCAATGGAAGTAACGGCTGCTGCGACGAAGTTAGCCCGGCCTGCTCTTTTTGGAAAGGCGTGCTGCAGCCTTAGGCCACACGATCCCACTTTTGAAGCTGCCAGTCTTCAAATAAAGGGAGTCAGGTGCGATCTGCACTGCAAAGGCAAAATCCCCAAACCAAGTCTCCAACATAGTGTCCCAGTCGAAGCGGTCGTGAGTCGCCCGACTTTGTGACAATGCTGCCATCACTTCAGTAGCGTGCCAAAAGTCATTTTTTGACATAGTTATTCAATGCCAGTGTCTTGCCTGGCGCACGCGCAGGAAGAGCAGTCATGATTCTGTGCTTTGGTCGCGAGTGAAGGTCGGACAACGCGATTGTGGCGCAAATATCCAAAGCAAAAACAATGTCTTCCAACGCATCCGCTGGTGCGTTCCACCCGGTCAAGGACTTGGAACAAAGGAAAAGCCAGAAGCAACCTCTGACGGCTCCATGGTTGCAAAGTGCAGAAACTGAGTTTCTTCGTGTGAACTTTTCTCAGCGCGACTTGTCACAGGCATGAGCGCTGCAAAGGAGCTAGCCATTGAACTCTTTTAAGTGTTAACTACTTAGCCTCAAATGTGAGCCCCAAGCTGAAAGCAAACACTATACCGAGCTGGACATGGATGACGACTTGACTGAAGTTAGGAAAACCAGGGCTTTGGTGCAAAACTTGGATTGTTTTCCCCATAGCTGACCTTAGTTGACTCACTGCTAAAAAAGCTTCTGGCCGCATCAGCCAGGAAGCTGACCTTAGTCGACTCACTGCCAAAATAGCTTCTGGCCGCATCAGCCAGGAAGCCAAGCAGCCAAGCGTAGTGCCACCCATTGAGAGTTTGCGAGCCTTGGTACGCGCATGTTTTTTTAAGTTCTCATGCTGCAGGGAGCCTGCCTCTCTGACAGCATACATAGCGAACTTACTGCTGCATTTGCTGAAGCTGCATGCTTTGCAACCAATGCCCCACGGTTGCTCTTGGTCTGACAGCCATGACCCACCTTCAGGATCATGTGGGCTCAAAACAGAAACTCATGAGTCCACTTGTCGCATAAGCGCTTCCATTTCTTGTATGCAGAATCCTTCTCACATAGCGTCATGACAAGTGCACAGGCCTTGGCCGAAGCAGCCAAAGGCCTGGGCACCTGGGGCGACGCACCCTGAAGTTACACTAGGTGAGATTAATGGCCCAAAGGAGCAACGAGCAAGCCAAATATCTTCACAAATGTGAAAAATAATTTTCTTGTGCGTAGACGAGGAATGTGGAAGGCTCAAACGAGTTTGAGGTGCTCATTGAAAAGTTAGAGCTTTGAAACAGCAACCACATTCCAAAAACGGTGCAGTTAATGATAGATTATTAATATCTAGCGTGTGTTACTTGATTTGCCTCTGTGCGCTGCTGCTTAGGTGAAGCATGACATGAACACATGTCTTCAAAGGTAAACGCGAATTGAAAATTGATTTTGCATCCAAATTGACTTTTTTAGTTTTGAGGGAAAAACGGCCAAAAAAAAGAATACAAAAATACCACTATATAAAAGCAAGCTAGCTATTAAGATCTATGAAGTAGGACGCTCCTAGTAACTGGACGCTGGACAGCTCATGCTTCTATTCATGTGGTTCCTACGTTACAGTAGATTTTTAGAAAAACAAAAAGGAACTTCGGGATCTGCTGAGAAGGGGGTGAGTTTATAGTGGATTGTCCTGCACACGTGTCATCGCATTTGGTGTTCTCAAGGTTTGGTCGTCCTCGGCTTTGTCCATCAAATCTTGCGCCCCGGAATCAGTGGCGGCACTTGGTTGAGAGGAAATGTTCGGAAGAATGTGCTTTAAACGAACTGAAAATAAAATTTTGAATTAAGTAAATGCTACTAGGAACAAGTGCATCGCTACTAGGAGCAAGGGCCTTACTAGTAGTAACAAGAAGCTATTAGAACTAAACAGTGCTCCGGCGCTCTGCTTGTAGGTTATGAATTGGGTCGTATCGAGATTCCACAACCAAGCTCGATGCAAATGCATCCCAACAACATGGGCCATTGTCAGAGTTTGCAAAAATCATGGCGGCCCCTTCTTCAGAGCCTTCACACCATCCCAAAAGTCATAGGCATCGGCTTCCCAATGACCAGAGGCCTCGCCTTTGCAGCTGGTTTTCACTTCGGTGGGATCAGGATTTGGTCCAACCGATTTGCATGTCCTCTCCCTTAGATCGGTTCATGACCTGCTGGTCGCACCGTCACACCCGAAAGGGCTTATCACCGGTTGTGGTGCATCATGACTGTGGGCCCTTGACTCTTGAATGCTTCGTGATGAAAGCATTCATTGAAATTCAATGTTCAGCCCGCGGCTTTTCCACTTGTTGCTAACAGGGTCAAAACATATCAAAACGCAAAATATGCAATCAACTACGCCCTCGATGAATGCTGATTCTTGATCAATAGTGCCATGTAGCCGCACGGAATGCCCTGCCGAATCTTTGCCAACAACACCCTGCTGGGGAGAACACATCTTTGGTATCGCAATCGTCAGAGTCTAATCTTGCTTACTTCAATCATCGTTGGCTGCTAGTTAGGAACCACCATTAAGCTCCCATCAAGCTACCAAAGAGCAGCTATTATACTGGTCATAAGAGTCATAAGTTCCAACAAACAAACGAACAAACAAACAATCATATGAACCATCATAGTCACATCATACATTTTGTGAAACTGCTTTATTTATGGATTTATGACTGATCCCACATGATCCCACAAACCGACTCCAAAAATAGTCCCTTTTTTCAGGTGACCCTTTCGGGGCCGAGCCACGATTAATCCGCTGCAAGCGATCTTTTCCATTCAACTCGGCATCCAGCTCCTTCTGCCCCACGCGGCCCTGCAGTCAGCTCCGATGAGTCGCTAACCGAAAAAACGATCCACCTAACTCATATTTGGTATATTGGACGGAATTGCAACAGCAGCTTCCAGCAGAAGCATGTCTCATTCCGCACTAGGAAGTAAAACATTTGCCTGAAGATTTCATGTTTTGATGTATGTGTATACTGTATACTATGAGGGTGCATGGATGCGAACCGTTGTGTAAGCTTCCCAGCCCCTACCTTTGAACACCTGTGATCGAAAGGCTTGATCTCAGCACATGTTGACACGCCTTGGATGACTACATTGCATGAAATGTAGGTAAGCTGAGAAAGGCTGAAGGAAAGAGGGTGAGAATGAGAGTATGCGCTCAACCATCTGGGGTGGGACTGTCCACCCACCCCCCTGATTATTTATTAAAATAATTGAGGTGGTCTGACCCCACCCCCCCTGGAAATGAATTGGAGGGTGTGCACACTGTCCTGAATAATTTCCAGATATCCATAGGAACTGTGTATAAAAATGCAGCCATTCCAGCAGCTTTTTTTGTATGTGCATGTGATGCGAAATCGATGCAGGAGTTTGCACCAGTCATGAGATGTCATGAGTCTCATTTTCTTTCATGCTATTTCTCTGGTATGCATGGTGTGCTGCACATAACAGCTTGTTTGGCACCCCCACCCTCAATTGATTAGTCATTTTTGGGTAGAGATCACTGGTGGCCAAGCATGGTCTTGGGGTGGGGTCGGGGGTACCCCCCACCCTCAATTAATTATGCTCTTGTTGTTTCAAGCAAATACCAAATACAAACATGTTTTTGAACTGATCTCGTCGTAATTTTGAGTTGTTCTTTCTTTTTTAATAAGTCCCTCTGACGTGCAGCAGGTAGCTTCAGACCGACTACTTCCAAATGCTGTGGATCTGCCGTCTTTGTCTGCAGCTGCCTGGTATTTTATATAATCTAGGTGGGTTGACTCCAGGTGGGAATTTTAATCTCTGGGTTG